GAAACAACAAGCAGATAGGAGAAGAGGGGGGAGAAAAACGAAACAGAAGGAAAAGTTGTTCAGCATAATTAGAGAGGACAGCAGCAGGAGCACAAGGCTACAAAAGGACAGAGGACTGTCCCAAAGAGCATCACACTCCGGCAGCCGCCCACTAAGCCCCCCACCCTCACGGCATCAACGGGCTGAACAGGGAGGGGGGCTTACGAGTAAGGAAAAATTGAGGAATACGAGAACCGGAGCTAATAGTTGAAAAATGAGAACCCAGTTCGGCCGCAACCAACACTGAATCTGCCACAATAGAACCACGGAGGTGAATGACTGACGAGACATCTGGAACAAATTTACCTGCTATCTTATGGATTTTCTTTGAGATCTGGGGCAGACGAGTGTCAGTCGTATTGGGAGAGACTTTCCAACTCACGTTTTGCTGTACAGATGTCTGTACAGGATACCGCACTAGCCTTTTGAAACAAAAAAAAATAAGCAGCCGTCTGTTGGCGTCTGTGTTTCTTCAAGGCTGCACACTTATAGCAGACAGCCTGAGCACAGTCTGTATTCCACCAGGAAATGCCCTTCTGTATGCTCCAGGAGGTAGAGTGAGGAACAGAGCAGGAGGGCAGCAACTAATATGGTGTCATAAAAAAGGAGGACGACTCGAAGGAGAGGCAGATCGGAGAGGTCAGAAAGAGTAGCAGGTAGGGTGAATAGATTCCAGTCAGCAATTGGCAAACTAGCATCCCTCATGGTTCATTGAAAAAGCACACAGTAAAGCTAAAAGCATCCATTATGCTAAAATTGAATGACACCCTTGGAATCCTGATAAAAAAAAGTTTTGAAATTGCCATATAACCATTTTTAAATTAGTAAACTGACCCATATATGCCCGAAACGCTTTGCGTAATAGTGGCTTTAGGCATTGTATGTACTAGCTCTACCTATAAGTCAACCAATCTTTGTAAAAATTTATTGTATGTATGTACCTTACCTAAATAAACATTTTATTTTATTTTATTTTATTTTTTTTTATATCGTAATTGATAAAAGACAAAATGGTTTCCTGTTACCAAAATACAATTAGGGAAAGGGCTTGTAAGAATACAGTAGGAGATGATGGAAACCCGGGAAATGTTTATATATTACCGTATCAAGATTTTTAATAATTTATCACTTTAATGCGAGTGGTACCCGTGAAAAAAACTCTACGCATAGTGCGCGCGGCGTTTTTTTCTCTTGAGCGTAAACACCAAACAGTGTGTAATCTTTTCACTCTCCTGACACCAATTCTCGAGCTACGTATTTCCTTTTGGTATCAATGTGTTGGCAATAAAATTCTATACAAGATCATATGTATAAAATGTAACCAAAGCATTAGCTATTCCACCACGAAATAAATAAAAACGTAGATCACTCGCCGTCTCGCCGTACTCCCAAACAGCAATAAAATGTTCATACTCTTTTGTTTGTTGTCAGCTCCACATTAGACCTACAGCGTTAAATTTTATATCACTGAACTCGCAATAAAATTTTCTACACAGACATATGCATATAAATGTAGAATCATGATCGCGGCCAACACAAGAGTGTGTGAAGTGGGCGATTACCCTCGTTGTGTCACTAACTCAATAGTCTCTCCTCTAAGTTACAATACAATGCCGTTTTCTCAAATAGGCACTGTGCCTATTAGAGAAAACGGAAATTTAATGGCAAACATATTCATACAAACGCCAAGTCGATCGAGTAGTATATACCTACTATAACACAGACCGTAAATGTACGATGCGACCTCACAAGCGCTAGAAATAAACCGCCCGTACATCCAAGTGAAGGGGGCATGAAAGTGTTTAAAAATTAAATTAATTAATTAAATTAATTAAGTCTATGTGGGGAAAACAGGGCGAAAACTTGAGTCCACAACTGAAGAACATAAAGCATGTAATGGCTGGTAATAGTGTTGTAGCAAACTATAGTTGGGAAAGATCACAATATTGATTTTAAGGAGTGTGAAATAATCTATAAAAGTAATAATATTAGAACTAGAAGGGTAGTGGAAAGGGTTCTAAGAAATACTCTGCATACTTTTCCTGGTAACAAAAACTTTACTTCGGAGGATAGCTTTACTAGGAAAATGATTCTAAGTGAATTAAAATTAGATCACAATAAATG